GGGCCAGTCGGAAATGGTTGCGCTGGACCTGAATGAAGAGAACCGAGTCACGTGAGTGTCGACAGGGATTGAACTTATTATTATTTATATTATTATAATTACTATTATTATTAATGTTGTTATTGTTAGTTTGAGGGCTCTACTGTCATTTTGCAAATTCAGTCTTGTTTAATCTCTTGATAAACTTGTTGTGACCAAAATATTGATTGAGTTGTCTTACTTTTCTCATTCCCCCCCCCCTTCTTTCTCCTCGTCTTATTCTTTCTTTCTTTCTTTCTTTCTTTCTTTCTTTCTTTCTTTCTTTCTTTCTTTCTTTTTTTCTGTATCTTTCTTTCTTATTCTTTCTTTTTTTTCTCTATTTCTTTCTTTCTTTCTTTCTTTCTTTCTTTCTTTCTTTCTTTCTTTCTTTCTTTCTTTCTTTCTTTCTTTCTTTCTTTCTTTCTTTCTTTCTTTTCTTTCTTTCTTTTCTTTTCTTTTCTTCTTTCTTTCTCTTTCTTTCTTTTCTTTCTTTCTTTCTTTCTTTCTTTCTTGCTTTCTTGCTTTCTTGCTTTCCTTCTCTTCCTTCTTCTCCTTTCTTTCTCCCTGTCTTAATTCCTGCCTTCCTTCTCTATTCATTACCATGAATAATCTATGTTAAACAGTCTAGAATAGAATAGAGATGTCTTTAAGAAAAGGAAGAGGGAACTGGTCACCTTGCTTTATTACACAATGGCCTTGATTAGTAAGGATCAAGATTCCCAGCACTCTGGACACATCCATAGGTGCTCCGATCTCTTCTTCAGAAACCCCACAGGCGTTAAATGAGTGGTGTCGCCTGTACTGAGTTGATTACCTAAACGTCTTGTCCCTTTGTTTAGCATCCGGATAAGTTCCGGTCACTGGAGGTTAGGAAACGAATTCTGGAGCCAGTTTTAACATACGGCAGTGAATCATGGACAGTTAATAAACAAACCTTAAACCTTCTGTGATGTGGTTTTACAAAAGAATCGTTACAATTGCCTGGACAGCCAAAAATTAGCAGCCCAGATGCTTTCAAAGAGGTGAATCTCGAAGACAACATCACAAACAAAAGAGACAGTCAGTATTTTTTGTTTGTTTGTTCGGTCACTTTATGAGAAGAAAAAAACTGGAACATGTGGTGACCAGTGGAAATATTTGTAGAAAGAGACAAATGAACACAATGCGAGAATATTCTTGACAGCCTTTAGTCGTGGCTGGAGGGGTGAGTACATGAATTGATACAAGCAGTTAAAGATCGCAGATTGTGGAGAATCATGATTGTGCATGCCAGTCGGCAAGGCACGTGAAGATGTTGATGCCCCCTCCCCTTAGGTGTTATGTTCATTTCTTGCAGCTCCAGATTGTTACTTATAATCTACTCGCTTATTGCCTCGAACACCTACATTCATGGGTACAAACATAAAGGTTATAGCAGCCCTTAAAGTGCTCAGTGACATAATCCATTCTTGCCTATTATATCAAGGCATACGCAAATAGCAGTTTTAACCTTTATCCTAACATCCATTTTCCTGCTCAACTGTCGTCTCCTCTTCTTCTGCTTTTGTCGTCTCATTGATACCAGGTTGTAGCCCAGCGTCGTGGTTTTGTCGTCTCATTGATACCAGGTTGTAACCTAGTGTCGTGTTTTTCTGTGTTTGTTTTGCGCTTCTCGGGTGGCTTCAGTGATAGATTTATTCATCTTTTTTGCAGGTTTCAGCGTTACCATTTATCTCATCCTTCTTGGTCTTCTTCTCGCCTTCCTCTCAAATGCTGTACTCTAGAAAGTCTCATATGCAGTTTGGTCTGGCTGCATTCTCACTAGATGGCTAAACCATTTCATTATTTGTCTGTTAATAAAATTCAGAAATGGTCCTATTGCAATTTTCTATTTAATGCTGGTATTCCTAATCCTGTCTCGTCTAGTGTTTAGTGACCTTGCTGAGACAACGCATTTCACATTCAGTTCAACAATCTATGGCTCATAATTTCTTTCGCACATTTGTTAATCTGCTTTTTTGTCTGCATGCCTGCCTTTATGTCTGTGTGCTATGAGCAAAACGTTTTACACGTAAAATGTAATTTTTGTGTAAAAGACGATTGTTTAGACCCCCTTAATCCCCTTTAAAAAATAAAGAGTGTTCAGTAAGTTTATCTGTCTGTGAGCATTATGTACACACACATACACACACACACACACACACACACACACACACACACACACACACACTGATAAAATGCATCTACTTTCCACAGAAACGGAAATCAAAATGTACAGCCAAAACCGCCTTTGCCAAACAAAGAATTTTCAAGAAACCTCAGAACCAATCAAGTGAACATAAACAGCGATGGTAAACAGGAAAGGAAAGAACCACCAAATAATACAGCCCTAGTCACAAAGTCTTTGCAAGCTCCCAACAGTTACCGGAGCTGGGCCCATATCACAGGCTCGATGGAAACCAACAAAATCAATGACGACTACACGTTTTGTCCACGAAGGGAGCCATTTGTGGTATTTCATTCATTCATTGTCCTAGTTTAGGTTTAGACGACGGATCAACATCATAGCACAAGGGTAGTAACCCATCAGTGCCCGTTTCTACTTCTGACTCAAGCGTGAGTCCGAAGAATCTCAGCGCAGTGCACAAGGCCCGTAGCACAGGCGAGGATACTGAAATACTTTGGATAAATTTTTAACTCCAAATGTTCTCCATCTTTAACTGCCAATGGATTTTTTTTACGTGCGCAATAATACACACGGGCATCCAATTTTACTACACAGAGACCAGGGGAAATTACTAGACGTCCACATGAAAAATCCCAGCCTTCACCAGGGCTTGAACCCGGGCCTCAAGCACTCGAGGTGGACGTCCATGTCATTGTCCTAGTGTGACATTATAGGAGGGAAAGTCAGTAAGTAAGTCACAAATGGTTATGGGATGGTGGGAAAATGTAGTTGGTGGTTTCTAAAGGGGTTGTTAGGTGACAGCGTGTCTCCGTTCGTTAGGTGGCGCTAGGTGTTGCATGCGCATCCGCAACACAGAAACAAACTGGCGACTGTACTTACTGAGTGTACCCTCAAAGAACAACGTGCTGTGTGCGCGTGTGTGTGAGTGTGTGCAAAAGGACTGCCTGCAAAGGACATTTATAAGGAAATGCTTCCTGTTAATACTTACAGATGTTTATTCCGTAAACCTGGGTGTAGCTGGGTAAATTCAGAACGCCCTAAAATTGTTGATAAAGTCCAATCTGGTCGTCCCGTAGAGACTGTAACAGACGCATCTGTGCAGCGGGTTGCATAGATGATTAGAGATGACAGGCGAGTAATCGTTGACTCTGTAGTAGCTGCGATAGAGTGCTCACATGGTTCAGCATTCAACATAATTTATGATCGACTGAAATTTTTAATCCACTGAAAAAATCACTTTGGCAGGAGACATTTTGTGAATAACGCAGAAGTTGAATGTGAAGTGAAAAAGTGGTTTAGAAAACAGAGCACGTAGTTCTATGCAGCAGGTTTGGGAGGGCTGATAAAACGATGGGACAAGTGCATCAGTGTTGGTGGACATTGTGTTGAAAAATAAAGGGACAGTGTGAAAAAAAAAAAAGTTTTCAAATTGTTATCGTCTTTAGCTGTTTTTTAAACAACCATTTGTAAACAACCATTTGTGACTTTATTTATTGACTTCCCCTCGTATTACAGTGTTTGCAGTCTGTTTCTGAACCCTGTTCTATCGCGTGCAGTTATTTAGATATCACGGATGGAATCGAACCTTTTTCCTCCAGTCAATGTATGCCTTAGCGTTCCTCTTGAACGTCTTCGTTTTGTCAAACTGTTTCCTGTTTCAGTGCCTGTTTGGACAATATTTGGTATTAGTTAGTTGCGTGAGGAGCGGCTGGCCGAAACGTTGGAACGCTGGGCTCTCAAGAGGGGGTCCCAGGTTCGAATCCTCGGTAAGGCGGGGGATTTTTTCTGTCGGGGTAATAAAAAGACATATAATGCAATGGTACGGACATGTAACGAGATCTACCGGTCTCTCTAAAAAGAGACAACATGGCTTTTTAGAAGATAAGAGGCACACAAAGAAAGACATGGATGCCGAATGTGGCCTAATGGACGGACCTCAAGCATGCAAAACATTCAAGTTCAATGCTTCGTTTCGACAAAAGGTGGAGGGAGCCAGACAGTAAACAGCAACTGGTGATATAACGACACACGGTGTTGTGGTGGGACTAGGATGATGATGATGATGACGATGATGATGATGATGATGATGATTATGATGATGATGAACAGACATAATGACTGACAATTTGTTTTCTCTGCGCTGACATGCTAAAACAAAGGGTTGCACCTTGCACACCAATCCAAAATGATAAATACTACATACCCTGTTCAAACTTTGAAAAAAGCAAATTAAGACACTAGTCGTTACACCAGGTTGACACTGACGCATCGTCAAAGGCAGGTAAGAATACAGAATCACTAATAATTTTCAATTAAAAATGTACTAACGGCTATGTCGGCATGATTGTTTTCGTGGCTGCGCCAATTGGCAACTATGAAAACTTCTTTTAACTGTAGTGAGACTACGGAAAATGCAATGGTGCGGGAAAGTAATAAGATCTAACAGAGACCTGGATATAGAACTTGGCTGAATGGACAGTACTTAGTCATGTTACCATGAAGTCTAGAGCATCTGACCGTCAAATGTGGAGGGAGCTGATTAGAGAGTCAAACAGCAACTTGTGAAGGCGTTGCGAAAGCGCTTCGTAATTCCGTGATGCTAGTTTCGATCCCAGCTGCGGGCAATCTGGCAGCACACAGCCTTTACATTGGTTGCAAGAGTGGTATCGAGGACCATTTTTTAAGTAAGCAATGGCAAACTACTGCAATTACCTAGTGACATCACAAACGGTGCAGAAATGCTGGACTTTGGTCTTTAATGTACTGTAAAATGACACTTAACTAACTTTTCATGTATATCCAAAAACATCAACAGGGTCCGTTTGATTACGACAGCAGGACCAAGAGCCCATGTTGGAACGACACGGGGATTTTGCGATGTTTACCGTACGCCTACATCGTGGGCTTTAGCAAATGTGGGACGTCAGACCTGTTTTCCAGAATCATTCAACATCCCGACGTGGTCCATTTCGGCTTAAAGGAGAAACACTGGTTCGATTACTTCCGGTTTGGGACCGATACAAGTGAGTCAGCTTAAAATCTTGAAAAACTTGGGTGTCGTCACTGAACAAGCCAGGAAAACACTTCAGCTGACACATCACTAACTAGCTAAATAGCCAACTGACTGTCTTATAACTACACTTCTGATGGTTCTCCTTTGAAATCAAAGTGCGTCTGTCTGTGTAAATCTTTAAAACTGATGTGCACGCAAAACCCAAGACATGATTGAAAACCAAATATTCAAGAAGTAGACGAACAACCAGCACTTTCAGCCCTGGTTTACAGCTGGTGAGCAGAAGAATAAGAAGAAGAAGAAGAAGAAGAAGAAGAAGAAGAAGAAGAAGAAGAAGAAGAAGAAGAAGAAGAAGAAGAAGAAGAAGAAAGAAGGAGAAGAAAAAGAGAAAGAAGAAGAAAAAGAAGACTGACTCTCACACACTCACTCACTCACTTACTCACTCACTAATTCACTCACTTTTAGTTGAATGACAGGCTAACTAACTAACTAACTAACTAACTAACTAACTAACTAACTAACTAACTAACTAACTAACTAACTAACTAACTAACCAACCAACCAACCAACCAACCAACCAACCAACCAACCAACCAACCAACCAACCAACCAACCACCAACCAACCAACCAACCAACCAACCAACCAACCAACCAACCAACCAACTAACTAACTAACTAACTAACTAACTAACTAACTAACTAACTAACTAACTAACTAACTAACTAACTAACTAACTAACTAACTAACTAACTAACCAACCAACCAACCAACCAACCAACCAACCAACCAACCAACCAACCAACCAACCAACCAACCAACCAACCAACCAACCAACCAACCAACCAACTAACTAACTAACTAACTAACTAACTAACTAACTAACTAACTAACTAACTAACTAACTAACTAACTAACTAACTAACTAACTAACTAACTAACTAACTAACCAACCAACCAACCAACTAACTAACTAACTTACTAACTAACTAATCAACTAACTAACTAAATAAGTAACAAACTCACTCACTCATTCACTTACTCACTACCTAATTTAAAAACTAACTAGTTGGTAGTTAATTAATTACCAAACCAACTACTGCACAAATAATCTACTTGTTTACTAAACATGTACCGATATAAATAAGTTAGACAGTTTAATTTTAAAACAGTCTTTTAAATATGGTCGGATGTAACGATTTATTAGAGTCTGCACTGAAATATTCTATTGGCATTATTATTACAGGATTTATCCAAAACTATACAGACAAATTTGCCAACATGACGTTAAGAATAGAATCAGATTTGCGTCAGCTCGGATTTAGTTATAAAATAACAGGTAAGTGCTGTGTTATTATTATTAATTTCAACTTCATAGCAAACGGGTCATCCCATAGTTGCTCCTCTCCTATGCCAACAAAAAAACACACAGAATGTTCATCACAGTCTCTTGTGGAATGATTGACAAACTGCCGTCTCAGCATATGCACTAGTATACACACGCATTAAAGCACACGGTAGCCATCAGAAGTGCTAACACAAACAGTCCGATATTAGAAATGCAGTCCATCATCGACGGTAGCAGAGGTAACCAACAAATCAGCAGTTGCACGCGCGATCAATTTTAATCACATAAGGGCACCACCAATATTGCGACGAAAGGCCCCGCGCCATTTTCTGAATCTACAATTCACACCACTTTGGTCACAGTCCAAAAACATTGCAAATGAAATCCACAGCTCACAGGGTTGCACCAGGCACTAAACTGAGTAGCTAGACGACAAAACGATATCCTTTCAGTCTACATATAGAGCCAAAATGTAACTGCCACCGTCTGACAGAAGCAAAAACTTTGCTACGATTCAAAACAGTGACCGTGCCGAGAGTGCATTTTGATCGGAAGTCAAGGTAAGTGCACTTTAGTCAATGTACAGTAAAATGTCGTTCAAATCATTTCTAAGAGACCGAAAAATCAAGAGTTCGTATTAAAACAATCATCATTATAAGCATCGACAATTTTCAGTTTTACCAAAAAGCGCCGCGGGGAGGACCAGTCTGCCATCCATTGCTTGATGGCAATTGCCATTCTGTGGTTACGTAGAACTAGAAGACCGTTAATTTCATCAACCATATACTCCTAATATAAACTCTTTATGTATTACGAATAATACATCACTGTTAGGATCAATACTGTGTTCATGTTAACCAAGGGTTCATCTTAAGAGGGTTCGTGTTATTGAATGTTCACCTTTTTTACATGTACCTACATCATCATCCCCTTCCTTATGACCATAGTCATAAAACAGCAGGCTTCAATGTTATTGCTCTATGAAACAAAAGTGCTTGGAAGGGCCGAAGTAAGACGGGCCTGCTTGCCCAATTTGTTACCTTTGAAAAAAAACAACAACACTGTTCCGTTTGTTGTTTCATCATCATGTATCATGTCCTGTGCACAAAGTCGCTCTCATCAGGACACATCAGAAAACCATTAGGTACCTTTTCAACGTCGGTGCTTTATCAACTGTCATGTTCACTGTCTCCATGATATCCTGTTTATACCATCGCTCTGATCTACCTCTGATTCCCCTTCTGTAGAATTATCTTCCCCAGGAAATCAAAAATACCACTAACCCAATTAAATCGGAGACCCTATACCCATAGTCGGAGACCCTATACATACAATCAAGGACCCTATAGTCGAAGACCCTACACATACAGTCGGAAACTATTGGAATATGTCTTACTACAGACTATACGCCCCCTTAAAATATTATAGCGTGTTAGGCAAATGTTGTATTTACATCGGACTTGTGTATTTATTATTTAAATTTTGTTGAAGCTGAAAGTTATTTATTATTTAAAAATAAAGGTGCCATTGGAACGTATTCCAGCGCTTGTAACTATTATTAAATTGTTGTTGATGATGTTTATAACTAGCTGACTGCTGACACTCTGAAAAGTTTCTGTTTCCGACTGTTTTACTGATGCAAATTCCCAATTGATGTACCGGGAGTTCAAAGTGTCCGTCGCCCACTTACTGACCTGGGTGCCTGGCGCAAAAATATGTATGCGTTGTGGATTTCATGTGCAATATTCTTTTCCCATCTGTTGTGCATGCAGCGTGTTGTTGACGGCACTAAAATGGCGGGTAGCCGATAACGTGCATAATGGCGCGCACCTATACGTCCTCTCACCATTTAAATTCTGTAAATAGGCTAAACAACTCTACCCTCATGCCCCAACTTCTCCCTTATTGTTTTCTCTGTGTCTGGCCCCTTATTATTCACCATTCACTGCCTGCATCTTATTACTCATACGAAGTACTCAACTGAGATTTATTGATGTTGAACTGGCTATATGCTTTCAACAGTGGACGGAAGCCCAACCTACTCCTGGGGCTCTTTGAACTGGCCTTGTTACGAGGGTAACGAGGGTCTGAACGAGCCACTTTTCACAAATGCTGATGTCATCCACCGTTTGACCCCCAGTGCAAAAATTATTGTCTCGATGAGAGAACCAGTAAGCAGGTATTTATGTACTTACCTATCTATCTGTCTATCAACGTATCCACCTACCTGGCTGACGTATCTGTCTGTCTACCGACGTGTCAACCTGTCTTCATACCAGTCTACCTTCATACTAACCTCTGTACCTGCATATCAACAGAGCTACCTATCAGCTTGTTCACCATAGTGTGTACATACATACATACATACATACATACATACATACATACATACATACATACATACATACATACATACATACATACATACATACATACATACATACATACATACATACATACATACATACATACATACATACATACATACATACATACATACATACATACATACATACATACATACATACATACATACATACATACATACATACATACATACATACATACATACATACATACATACATACATACATACATACATACATACATACATACATACATACATACATACATACATACATACATACATACATACATACATACATACATACATACATACATACATACATACATACATACATACATACATACATACATACATACATACATACATACATACATACATACATACATACATACATACATACATACATACATACATACATACATACATACATACATACATACATACATACATACATACATACATACATACATACATACATACATACATACATACATACATACATACATACATACATACATACATACATACATACATACATACATACATACATACATACATACATACATACATACATACATACATACATACATACATACATACATACATACATACATACATACATACATACATACATACATACATACATACATACATACATACATACATACATACATACATACATACATACATACATACATACATACATACATACATACATACATACATACATACATACATACATACATACATACATACATACATACATACATACATACATACATACATACATACATACATACATACATACATACATACATACATACATACATACATACATACATACATACATACATACATACATACATACATACATACATACATACATACATACATACATACATACATACATACATACATACATACATACATACATACATACATACATACATACATACATACATACATACATACATACATACATACATACATACATACATACATACATACATACATACATACATACATACATACATACATACATACATACATACATACATACATACATACATACATACATACATACATACATACATACATACATACATACATACATACATACATACATACATACATACATACATACATACATACATACATACATACATACATACATACATACATACATACATACATACATACATACATACATACATACATACATACATACATACATACATACATACATACATACATACATACATACATACATACATACATACATACATACATACATACATACATACATACATACATACATACATACATACATACATACATACATACATACATACATACATACATACATACATACATACATACATACATACATACATACATACATACATACATACATACATACATACATACATACATACATACATACATACATACATACATACATACATACATACATACATACATACATACATACATACATACATACATACATACATACATACATACATACATACATACATACATACATACATACATACATACATACATACATACATACATACATACATACATACATACATACATACATACATACATACATACATACATACATACATAAATACATACATACATACATTATACATACATACATACATTATACATACATACATACATACATACATACATACATACATACATACATACATACATACATACATACATACATACATACATACATACATACATACATACATACATACATACATACATACATACATACATACATACATACATACATACATACATACATACATACATACATACATACATACATACATACATACATACATACATACATACATACATACATACATACATACATACATACATACATACATACATACATACATACATACATACATACATACATACATACATACATACATACATACATACATACATACATACATACATACATACATACATACATACATACATACATACATACATACATACATACATACATACATACATACATACATACATACATACATACATACATACATACATACATACATACATACATACATACATACATACATACATACATACATACATGTTTAAATTATGTTCGTGTTCTCTACTGGAACTGCGCTTCGTTCAGTCAACGCCGACCCATTTTTGAGAAGCTCCTCTACAGCAACGACATTGTTGTCCTACAGGAAACACACCTTGGTGACGATATCGTTAAAATTGCGGGCTTCCAATCCTTCTACAATAGACGGCACCTCGGACAGCTCATTCTTGTTCGTGACCACATACCGGTGTCTGAGGTGGACATGTCTAAGTGGAATAATGACGACTTACAAGTACACGCAGTCAGAGTGATAGGCCCGGCCCAGTTTGTGATTGTCAATGTGTACGCCTGCAATGGAAAGGTGGATACAGCGAAATGGCAGAGTTTGCTCCAGACGGAGGAAAAGAAAGTCATTTACTGCGGAGATTTCAACGCCAGAGGACACCAGTGGGGCAATGTAATCACTAATAAACAGGGAGAAGACCTGGAGGATGCCCTAGTGTCTGCAAATCTAGTATGCTTGAACGACGGAAAGGTTACCCGAATGGCAACACGACAAGGGGATTCTGACAGCGTAATTGACCTGGCCCTAGTGTCTCCCTCCATTGCATCAGGATGCAGGTGGAGCACACTGGGATACCACGACAGTGATCACTTTCCTTGCGTCGTCCTGGTAGAGAAGAGCAACAACAAAGGTCATGTAATCAATGTGCCTGCTTTTATATATGACCGTACAGGGCAAGATGCCATTAGCAAAATCCGACGACGTAAAACAAGAGTAGATCGCAGACGGCGGGAGAGATGGGCCCAGCCACCATGGTGGAATGAAGTAGTCAACATGGCGTGGCTAGAAAAAAGGAAAGCTGTCAAGGCATGGCAAAAGGCAAGGAAAATTGATCCGTCACTTTCTGAACGCCTGATCAGTCTGAAAGATGAGGTCAACAAGCAGACAGTGACTTTCAAGGTAATTGCGAAGGAAGCTAAGACAGCGAAATGGAACGAATTCTGCAAGAGCGTTTGCTCCGAGGGATCTCTTGTGACATTCTGGCGCCTTCAACGGAGCATGCACGGCGCCGCACGACCCAGGGGTATCCCTGATTTTCAGGGTACAGACCTGATATGGCAGAGAACTGATGCTGATAAAGGAAAAACCCTTCTGGCGCGCTACTTGGAGCAAACTGACCAAAAAGACGAAGCTACAAGAATAGGGGTTAAGATGAAACTGTCGATGCTGTGCGAGAACACTGTGTTAGGCACTGATCTCACAATCACTGCAGATACCTTAAGAACTTGCCTCAAGAAATCGCGCAGCACTGCTCCAGGCCCTGACGGCATCCGATACAACGACATGCTGATGATGTCGAATGCTGATTTGAAAAGCGTGGCAAAGGAATTCAATATCAGCATCCAGAGTGGCCAGATACAAGAGGAATGGCTCCATAGTTATTTGTTCCCACTACCAAAGCCTAATAAAGACCACTCAAAGATCTGCGGCTACAGAATCATCTCGATGCAGAATACTGTTGGCAAACTTTTGGAAAAAATTGTCGCACAAAGATTGACCACCTACTTGGAACTACATGATAAGTTCCCACCAACACTTGGAGGGTACAGGTTAAATAAAGAGACATGGTTCAATGCTGCAGTTTTCGCCTACGATGTGTACGAGGGATTTCAGATTAAAGAAGAGACATGTGCGGCAGTGTTGGACTTAGAAGATGCCTACAATAAAGTACCATACGATTATTTAATGCAATTACTGCTTAAACTAGAAGTTAATCCTATTCTGATCCGCTGGATTGCTGCGGTCCTGTTCCAGAGAAAGATTGTACTAAGATGTGGTAGCTGGTCCTCCGAACCGCAAATGATATGTCCAGGCTTGCCACAGGGATCACCGCTATCACCAGTCTTATTCAACGTTTACACGGTGATGATCACTGGGCAGCAGTTGAATGGAAAGGGAAGGACTTTGTCATTTGCTGATGACATTTTGATTTATCGACGAGGGCGTGATAGACAGGAGATCGCCAGCACTATGCACAAAGAACTCGATCGAATTGCCGCCTGGTGTGATGGTTCCAATGCCTATGTCAATCCTTCGAAGGCATCAGTGTCATGGTTCTCTTTGAACAATCACATTGTCAAGTCGGACTTACCAGAAGTGAAAATGCGTGATAATGCATTGATCAGAACCAACGTTGTGACGTTTCTCGGGGTGAGGTTCGATCGCAGCTTGTCATTCAGGGAACACGTTGACCATGTGATAACAAAAGCACGCAAAGGTCTATCTGCAATGAGGATTATGGCTGCTTCCAATATTGAGCAAAGACTACTAATACTTCTATTCTACGGTCTGGTCCTTTCCCCCATAGAATACGCTCTGGCCATCCTCACTGTCAGTGCTACCCAGATTGAACCACTCGAAAAGGTGCAAAATGAAGCCATGCGCATTATTTTGGGATGTACTAGAGACACATCCTGTGGAGCAATGAGGTATCTACTTGACTTTCCAACAATGAACCAAAGGATCAGGATGTGGAGGGCTCGGGCATATCTCAAAATATGCGCTGATAAGAAACACCCACTGCATCAAGCGCTTTTTAGTGAAAAGGGCGACAGACTGAAGAGGGGGAAATCGTGGCTAGGTTGGGCAGAAGATGTCATTAGGCAAATATGCAGCCTAACCGACATCATACCTGGTGCAGAATGGATACCTGTGCCTCAGGCGTTTATTTGTACATTTTCCTGTATTGTCACACTCAACAGGCGATGTAGAGAAGAGAATCCTGTTGCTGTTAATGCAGAGGTCAACGCTCTCATCGGTGAAAATTCAGACGAAGCAGATGCAATAATCTATACAGACGGATCCGTTATACGCCAAAGAAGAAGCGCATGGGCATTTACAGCACGCTCAGCGGGCAGAACAGTCAAAGAAGCCAACGGCGCCTTCTCCATGACAACCAGCAGCATGACGATGGAGGTGATGGCAGTGACACAAGCGCTTGCCTGGCTTGAAACACAAAAATACACCCGCGTGTGTATACTCAGTGATTCAATGAGTATGATCCGGAGGGTTCAGGCAGGTTCAGTGCGAAGACAATGGCTTGAATCATTACAGAAGTCCACTGTTCGTGGAGTCACCTTTATTTTTGTTCCGGGACACGCAGGCGTCGATGGAAATGAAAGAGCTGACAGGTTGGCTGGATCCGCTATCACTACCGACGGTCAGCCTATGGATCATGCTGATATTATCAATGCCCTCAGAGAAATGGGAAGAATAGAGGACTTTGGTGGCAGTGAATCCACATCACTCGCCAGAATGGCAGACTTGGGAATTAAGATCGGCACAGCAAAAAACGAGACGCACACCAGCTACGCCAGAAGACTTGTTAATCAACATAGAACTGGTACTATTAGCCATCGGACGTTGGGGTTCATACTGAGGGGAGGATCTGAGCACCTATGGACATGTCCGGAGTGCAATGAGGATAACCCAACTAACTAACTAATACATACATACATACATACATACATACATACATACATACATACATACATACATACATACATACATACATACATACATACATACATACATACATACATACATACATACACACACACACACATACATACATACATACATACATACATACATACATACATACATACATACATACATACATACATACATACATACATACATACATACATACATACATACATACATACATACATACATACATACATACATACATACATACATACATACATACATACATACATACATACATACATACATACATACATACATACATACATACATACATACATACATACATACATACATACATACATACATACATACATACATACATACATACATACATACATACATACATACATACATACATACATACATACATACATACATACATACATACATACATACATACATACATACATACATACATACATACATACATACATACATACATACATACATACATACATACATACATACATACATACATACATACATACATACATACATACATACATACATACATACATACATACATACATACATACATACATACATACATACATACATACATACATACATACATACATACATACATACATACATACATACATACATACATACATACATACATACATACATACATACATACATACATACATACATACATACATACATACATACATACATACATACATACATACATACATACATACATACATACATACATACATACATACATACATACATACATACATACATACATACATACATACATACATACATACATACATACATACATACATACATACATACATACATACATACATACATACATACATACATACATACATACATACATACATACATACATACATACATACATACATACATACATACATACATACATACATACATACATACATACATACATACATACATACATACATACATACATACATACATACATACATACATACATACATACATACATACATATACATACATACATACATACATACATACAACATACATACATACATACATACATACATACATACATACACATCTACTTACCTACACATTTTTCTGCTTACCAAATTACGTGTCAGTTTACCTTTCCTACACATGTATCTACTTACCCTACTACCTTTCTCCTTATCCTCTAACTACACATGTATCTGTTTACCCTACTACCTTTCTCCTTATCCTTTAACTACACATGTATCTGTTTACCCTACTACCTATCTCCCTTTCCTCTAACACACATTAGATGCACAAGGTAGCTGTCAGAAATGCCAATACAACCATTCCAGCAAAATAAATGCACATCATCGTCGATGAAAGCAGCAGTTACAACATATAGTACATGCACAGGCGATTCATTGCATAAGAGGCATACTACTATTTAAACCAGAGACCACGCTGGGCATTGTTGAAAATCACTCCAGATGAAACCTGCTACTCACAGTGTCGCGCCATGTACTCAACTCTTTTGGGCGACGGAACTATATCATATTAGCCTAAATATGGAGGAAAATGCAACCGCCAATTATTGTCGGAAACTTGTCATGTCTAAAAACAGTAATCCACTATGTTAACTTAAAGTACCATAATTACATAAAATAACTACAGAGCGTAACACAGCAAAGCATAACAAAATTGTAACATAACAGCCTAGCATAACCTAAAATAATATAAAATAAGATAGCAACATACCATTACATAGCATACTACAATATAATAACACTGCATGTCATAACATGACAACATTACCCTATATAGTATAACACAATATAACATAACAGCACAATATAATATAGCATAATATAACAACATAGCACAACATGGCTCAGCCACATATCAAAGGGTATCATTGCATAACATCTATCTGGAGCATAGAGAAACATTACTAGCCAAGCAAGACTACACCATTTCTGTCATTACAGATTGTATTCGCGTATGCTGTCGTGGATACCCGAACAGCTACACCCGGCTTACGTCGACCCGACACCCGAGAAGTTCCACACCTTTATCGAGGAGCGGGTGCGGATGTATCGTCAGTGTTTCACACAGTGGTCCCATAGACAGTGCGCTTATAACGGCACGTTATACAAAGAAGCAGTGAGTCTCCATACTTAACGTTGTTGAAGTTAGTTAGTTAGTTAGTTAGTCTTTCCTCTTGTGGAGGTCATGGAGGGCAGAAGTCATGACTCTCTATGCATGGCGGTTGTAGGTCTTGGATGTTTGAGTGGCCCATGAGCGAGCCTTCCCTGATGATAGTTCTACGTAGAGTTTCCCTTGGTCTTCCACGAGATCTTTTCCCCTGTGGTGTCCAAATGAGGGCTTGATAAGGAAGTCTTGATTTATCCATTCTAAGGGCGTGGCCGATATAGTTGAAGTTAGCTTGTTAGTAAAATATGAAGAGAATATTTGTAAATATTCGTGATATTATATGTGTAAACAGGAAAATATATCAGCCATGCTGCAAACAGGCAAATTAAAACGACGTCCTTAGAGGTCTAAAGAAGAATGAGAGGGAGGGGGAAGAGGAGGAGGAAAAGTGTGGCAGGGTACCAAAGGGCCTTTTGATAATTTTGATTTTGGATGGACGTGAACTAAAAATCTGGAAAACTAGGGTCAGACGTTGATAAAAAGCCGATGCACTGGGAAAACGGTGGTTTCGGCTTTCCAAATTCTGGCCCCACCGGTCGCCCCTGGACAGAAGCACCCACTCAGCACGCACATGGGCATAGCAGCGTGGGTTTCGGGCGAACGAGCGACGGTAGACTGACTGACTTCACGGCGCTAATGTGTCTATGGTTAGTTATAAATTTTCATCGTAGTTAAATCTAAATTTGTCTTCAGTATTTAAACTGTGTAGAGCTAGATATCAATGTGTACCATCATTTCTAGATATTTGATTTTATGTCGCTAGAAGAAAATTTTCACTTTGGTAAGTTGCAGTGCTTAGCACTTGGTGTGTGTGGACACGATGTTAAATGTAACGATTATAATTCATTTGCTTGATTCAAGTTAGGATTTACAGTCCATGCACATGGTTCGTCTAGGTGTGTGTAGTCATATTTTGTTGTGATTTTGTAATTCACTTAATCATTGGCAAGGCTACCATGAAATATTTTGTAGCCCCTGCATAAAATCGCCCTGTTTTTTTTTTTTTTTTTTTTTTGGAAACTTTTCTTCATTAGCTGTTCAGTGAAAAACCACTAAATTTTGTCATAGCCATATTTCTCTTTCCTCATCCACCTACTTCTATGTTTTTTATTTTTTTCCCCCGTTTTTATCGCTAGCACAGAAGAAGAAGTAGAAGAAAAAGAAGCAAAGAAGGAAGAAGAAGAAGAAGTAGAAGAAGAAAAGAAGAAGAAGAAGAAGAAGAAGAAGAAGAAGAAGAAGATAAAAACATCACAACGATGTTGAATTATTACTATTATTCTTTATGAGCTCGGTCTCTCGTCCTTTCTCCTCGTGCACTTTCCTATCCAGGGTGTCATACCCCCTATGCCCATCTTTGTTCGAATCGTCCTTACCTGTCTTTCCTGGTACAAAACATTTTGCTACTTTTCTTTCCAATCAGCCATCACACTTGAGTTTGCCAACATATTTCAGTTTCCGAGATCAAATTCTGTTTACTAGCCAATTTTCTTGATGTTTAGATCTTTTAGGAAGTCAATATTTCTAGTTTGTCTTGGTCCATACTATTCTGTGAATCTTTCTGTTACAGGCTGGTGGGATGTTTAGCCTTTAAATAATTTTGGTTTGGCAAGACTTGCGAACTAGAACTGGCCGGTTTGTAGATCGGAACTCTCCGAATGTGACCAGTGAGTCGAAAAGTTGATATTAGCCACACAACAAAAGCTTTTTGCTCTTTGGTCTGGTCAGTCGCCCTATGGATATTTTAGTCCTCGTTTCGTAGATGGCTCACAACGCAACGTAGGAACAGCGGACTGAGTAGATAGAGAGGAACTGGTTTACTGGTTTCGTGTTTGGCGGAACGTTCAGTGGGTAGATTGTGTTAGATTTTGATCTGATTAGCACATGGTCTGTTCTAACACGTTGTCAACGTTGTTGACCATTATGTATTGTTATCTGCGAAGGAAGCTAGTTTTGTGTTCAGGAAAATAGAAAGATGTAGCATGTGATTATTGTATTCCATTTGTTTGATTCCTAATAGGACTTGTAGTTGGTGCATGTGGTATGTCTAGGGCTGCCTATGTAGTAATATGCTGTAGTTGTTGTTGCATGATTCACTGATCACATTTTTCTCGCCTGAACCAAGAGCAATATTTCCTGGTTCCCGCTCCAGAAGAAACCTTGGTTTTCTTTACTTTTCCTGTGTTTGCAGACCAGGGGGAACTACTTATTGCCCTAACCCCATTTCTTTCCCTCGTCTCACTCAGCCCTTTCACTTTTTCCCGGGAAACTAGCTCATTTCTGTAACAATTCTGCTAAAAACCACTGTTTTCTTTCTTAAGGACCCAGAGACAGTCCATGACTCACAAGAAAGTTGAATGCTCTGAAACTTTTGACTTCGATTTCCTTGTTAGTGCCTTAGACCTTTAATGCTGTTTAACATAATTATGATTATTATTATTATTATTATTATTGTTATAATTATTATTATTATTATTTGATTAAAGAGTTAGATTAAAGTAGATTTAGAGTTAATAACATAGAATAAAAATTTATTTGTCTGTTGCAGGTTCTGAGACTGGCTGAGGGAGCCTACTCTGTCTACATCAAAGATTGGTTAAAGGTGTTTCCTAGGGAGCAGCTATTGTTTATCAAGTAAAACTGGCAATAATTAAACGTTAATGAACCATGTACGCACACACATGGAAGCAGATATTTAAACGAAATAGAAGCATGTAAAGGCAGACGAGCACAAGGATGCACGGACAAAAACACAAGTATGCACGGACAAAAACACAAGGATGCACGGACAAAAACACAGGGATGCACGAAAAAAAAAAAAACAGGCAGACAAACAAGTACAGATACACAAACAGACAAAAACTGACCGACAGACAGGGAAGAACATGAAGAAAAAATACAAGAGCATAGAGACAAGAACATACATACAGACGTAACAATAAGGACAATCGGACAAGAACAAACATGCGTACTGACAAACAGAAGTATAGACAGATGAAAAGAACAGGCAGACATACATACAGACAAACTATGCCAGACAAATAAGAACAGACAGAGAAAGACGAACAGAAAGATAGAAACACAGATTAGCACACAAGGGGAGGCAGGCAGACAGAAAGGCAGACATTCAGGCAGCGAGACTGACCCACAATGAACCAGACAAAGGGACATGGAGATAGACTAAATCGATCTATCCATCGTTTCTTTCTTATAGATTTGAAGACTACATAGCAGATGCGAATGCAACTGTGCGAAAAGTCTACAAATTTCTAGAACTTGGTAAGTCCGACAAACAGCCATTTTTCTCATTGTCTTTTCCTTCTTCGTCTTCTTTGAGTTCACCTGCTGCAAACTCCGACATTGGAAAGTTCTGAGTGTTCGTCCACCGCCGGTCTTTAGTCTTCTTCCAAAACCTGAGTGTTGCGGGCACATTATTTTTACAGATCTGATTTTTTTTGTATGCAGACTGTTGGTTCCCTGCTTCTCAGGCGGATGTACTCTGTCTTCGTAGGAAGCCCTCAAGAAGTCGACTCCTACAACATGCTTGTTGCTGGAGGTAGCGGGTCTAATCTTGCTTTCCCCAGAACGAGGCACAGGAACCCACACATGGTTGTTTTTATTATTATCTCATCTTCCTCCGCTTAAAAAAAAAAGCTTAGCTTCTTCTACAGTTCCTGTCGTGTTGTTCCTGTATCTCTCCAACTGCGTCTTCTACAGTTCCTGTTGTGTTTTTCCTGTATCTCTCCAACTGCGTCTTCTACAGTTCCTGTTGTGTTGTTCCTGCATCACTCTAACTGCCTTTACTACAGTTCCTGTATCTCTCCAACTGCCCCTACTACAGTTCCTGTCGTGTTGTTCCTGTATCTCTTTAACTGCTTCTACTATAGTTCCCGTCTAGCAGGTTGTGCAGTCAGTCAATCTGTTTCGCCTGTTCATTTCTTTGCACCGGCTTGATCCAGAGAAAAGATCAAGACAACGCTTTTCACCCTTGACCTCCGCAGCGGACATGCCACTCTGCACGAAGCATGCAAGTGCTCACCTTCCTCAGCATGCTTTCTGAGTCAGTTACAGTTACGATATGTGTGTGCGCGCGCGTGTGTGTGTGGATATAGATATATATATATATATATATATATATATATATATATATATATATATATATATATATATATATATATATATCGTGTTCTCTAGCCAGCGAAAGGCTGCTAACACCGCCTCAACCTCCATTCTCAAGCTGCGTGTTGTGGTATCGTATGCTTGGCACTTCTGCACTAAACGTTTACCATTAGCTTCTGCCAACAGCTCCAGGTACTTCTTTTGCCTGCTTGCACTGAACCGTCTGTATGAAATACCACATAACGCGAGCGAACATTGTCCTGAATTAATTGCTAAATTTCCACCTCCGTGGCATCTACTGGTCACGCTTCGATTATGACTACACACATCTGACTGTTCCGCTGGCACTTCGACCCACTCCTCTCCTCGCCTAATGTTCTCTAAGTTGCATACCTGTCTGATTGTGTCTTCTTCTGTCTGAGCTATCTATGACTTCCCCCTCATCACCCGCTGACCCTTAACTGCATCCAGCGTTTCGTGCAAGGGTGATCTGTGTCTGCATCTGTTGTGAGGAATGACTTCCCCTGCAGAACCGTGAGCCTACTTGAAAGTCGGCAAACCAAGGATGCATCGCGTACACTTTTCTGGTGTGCATCTGGTACATCCCAGAAGACCTGCGTAGTTGGGTTGTGCATGCGCTCGTTTAACCATCTGACTCTTTGAGACAGTGAGCATTGCTAGTCCTTAGTCAATCACTAAGTGGACCAAGCAGTGATATAGCGTGAAAAGCATCATCTGATATATGGTAGACATAGTCTTAAGTTCACTGAGTCCCTTTTCACACCTTATCACATCCGTCTCCACATGGTCCTCGGCGGATGAATATAGTATAAAGTGCCGTTCCCACAATCTGTCTGATAGTATAATTTATTCACTTGATCTCGGATGATGATGTTGGCTGTTTTTGTTTTTTTTTTTTTTCAGGCATCTCATCTCGCAAATGGTGATATTGCGTAAAGTTGTAAATTATTGTATGTCTCTGAAAAAAAAAAATATCATCATCATTATCGGGTGCCTTGCCGATTGGCGTGGGCGATCATGCCTCTCCATAACCCACAGTCTCCTGCAACATGTTTCAGTTCGTGTGCCGACACACCTCCCTGCCATGCAACCAGACTGTCAAGAATCTTCTCTCGTTGTCTTCCTCTATCCCTCCTTCCACAGATCTTCTCAGTGGTCACAACATGTTCTATTTTCCATCTTCTCATAACATGGCCGAAACAAATGAAGACTGTCTCCTTCTGATGTCTGTGATAAGTTGTCTTCGGGCTCCCGCCTCTTTAAAAACCTCCTCTTGGTTGTTTTCTTTGGCTGTCCAATGTATTCTAAGCTGTAAAACTTCTATATAAAACTTATATATATATATATATATATATATATATATATATATATATATATATATATATATATATATATATATTATATATGCTCGTAGGTATTCTGACAAATTATTGTGCTCAAACACAATAACAAGATTTAGATTCCCAAGATAATTGCATTATACAAAATGCATCCCACTTTCAGCGCCCTTATCTGAGGCGGAAATGCACAAGATTCTTCACACTGGGCGAGTCAACGTAGGCAGATTCTACCATGTCGGGCCCATGCTGAACAAGACAATGGACATACTGGAAGACTTCTACAAGCCGTTTAACGAGGAACTTGCACAGATCCTGGGTGACCCCCACATGACCTGGAAGTACAACGAGAGCTAGGACACGAGAATATTGGGCGGATGCAAACAAAGTCCTATATTGTGGAGTTCAATATAATAATATATGATCTGATGTGCAATATGCTTATTATTATGTTATATGATGTTATATGGAATGATAAGAGTTGAGTAGATTCAACAACCGACATCACAGCACTCAGGGGCATTCCCATAAGCGCCCCGTCCTCATCTTAAGCAGCCAGCGCAGAGTTCCAGTACCAATGTTACCAGTAACATTCTGATTAGACGGCTTTATTAAATGGAAATTGCATTTGTAAGAAAATAAATTTGTTGACGCCACTGTAGACTGTGGGACACTAGGCTGTAGTTTATTTATCTGATATCTGACTCCAGTACTGGCAGCAATGCAACAGAATGGACAGAATATATCTATATCTGGAGAAACTTGAGTCGACGGAGAGTGAACAGATAGTCTGGACGACATTCAGCCGACAGTGGAAAAGACAGCCAGATCTTTTTTCAGTTTGGATCGGCATCATCAATATGGAAACACTTCTGTTACCGACGTGCAAGGAGACAGAACACGTTTAGTAATATCCCGAGGGCATTAATTTAAGAATTCATTCATTCGAGCCAAGTACGACATGCTTGCTGATATTCTGTTCGTATGCATCCACATATGATAAATTGACTGTTGCCCATATAGCCTAAACGGTTGTGGTGTTATAGTTGTAAAATATACTATGCATGTGTTCATTTCCCAATATTTGTTTGCTGAAAAGAAATACATAAATTGTCAACATTTACAAAATGGTGTCACTTCTTTGTTCAATTTCCACAGCCACATTTTATAGCAGGTTTAATTTATTTTGCTTTTTTCTTATACTTTTGCCGTGTGGCAATCTGGTAATCTGGTAATCCTAGTTTCAGCTTCATAGCAAACGGGTCACCCCATAGTTGCTCCGCTCCTGTGCCAACGACAAACACACGTAGCTCACAGTGTCACACCATGCACTCAACTCAGAAGCTGGGCGACGAAACTATATGCTTCAAGTCTACAAATGGAGCAAAAATGCGACGGCCACCGCCTGGCAGAAGTAAAAAAAAAAAAAACATTTGCCACGCTAAAAAAAAAAAGTGGCCATGCCTAACGTCCATTGCCGTGTGGCGTTGGTAGTCATGTCTACCCACAACCTTCTGTCTCGTGTACTTTTAGCCATTTCTGACACTGAAGATCTTCACTGTAATGATGTCACTGTCCACCATAATCTCTTTCGGGCTTTCCCCCTCCAACTTTCCCACCGTCACGATGTACGCCAGTTTTCTCCTTCTCGTGAAATGACCAAAGAAAGCAGATTGTTTCTTTATTACTGAGTCTAAATTGCCTAGTTAATTAAAGAAGAAACAGCCAAACTTTAGCGTGAGTCTAGGCAGCTACTGAGGCATTATTGTTCTGTCAGATCCATTTCCGGTCTTGAAGTACGCTAGTTCTTTAGTAGCGCTAGTTCCGTAATAATGAACTACCGTATTTCTCCAAGAATAAGACGGACCTGAGATTTTGAAGAAAACAAATAATAATTATAATTAAAAACTACCATTGTTAAAGATGCACATTGTTTTCAAACCCTAAATCTTTGCAAAATGAATGTATCTTATATTTTAGAAGATACTGTAATCAACACTGGACATTTCGACATTTCAGCGGCATTTTTTACGTCGCAAAAATCTCTCATACACCATTTAAAACTGTTTCAACTTTGGAAAGTAGATACAATTTAAAAAAAAAAAAAAACATACACTGCTTAATCGGGATTTGAGCACATGTCCATTTGGCCAATACAGAGCGATGTATGGTAATATGTTAGCGCCTTGCATCACGAATCGCCCTTGCAAATCATAAAGCAGACGTGTGTAAGAAACAATGTCGATTGAAAGCAACATGGCATTCTCTAGATGAATAACTGCAGCCAGTGTTATCTTCAAGATGCGCTGTAACAAGTGCAGACAACTCCATGGATGAATTCTTTGACACGATTGTCTGTCCATAAACCACAGATACCTGAAATCTTTGGTTAGGGTGGACGACAAGTGCGCTTTATTCGTGTCACAATTTGTTCAGGTCTCTTTAACTGCATAATGACAATAATTGTCCCTTTAAGAGGCGGACTGGCGCAGGCGTGTAATGTCTGCTTTGAGCCCCAGCATAGTAGCCTCTCATATGAGAACAGGGGATTTTATGTATGTATGTATGTATGTATGTATGTATGTATGTATGTATGTATGTATGTATGTATGTATGTATGTATGTATGTATGTATGTATGTATGTATGTATGTATGTATGTATGTATGTATGTATGTATGTATGTATGTATGTATGTATGTATGTATGTATGTATGTATGTATGAGTATGTATGTATGTATGTATGTATGTATGTATGTATGTATGTATGTATATTATGTATGTATGTATGTCCTGTCTGTCTGTCTGTCTGTCTGTCTGTCTGTCTGTCTGTCTGTCTGTCTGTCTGTCTGTCTGTCTGTCTGTCTGTCTGTATGTATGTATGTATGTATGTATGTATGTATGGTATGTATGTATGTATGTATGTTATACCCCACCAAGACATCACACAAGCGATAAACACCCAGTGACACAAAGTGCCACCATGCGGATGAGGATTACCCGTGGAGAAGTCCCAGAAACCCCTTTCAGCCGTTAGGCCATATATTTACGTTCCGGCTATATTTAGAGCCCCCGGCAAAAGCCAGGGTGGGACTTCAAATAACGAAAAAGTGCATCCCAAATGGGAGGACGACTATTATAGGATTTAATGTAAATCAGTTGACAGGCATATATCTATAGACATATAGATAGTGGACAACTTTCTGACATACAATAAAGTGGAAAGTGCAGCTATTACCCTGCCACACTGGCATTCACTGGCCAGGTTCAAACATAAGTTGACCTGACAATATGGGTCGCCTGCTAAACTAAACCGTCAGTTGAAAATCTTACATGGGCGCCAGGGGGCTTAAGCACCAGGTTTCCCCCACCCTCAGCTCCCCCACAAAAATGCCTAGATGCCAAGCAGCTCAGGCACCTTGATTCCCCCACCCTCAGCTCCCCCCACAAATATGCAAAGGGAGCTAAGCTGCTTCTCCCCCAACCCATACATTACAGTTTTTTTTAAACAGTTATTCGCAATGTATTTGCTTTTTTTAAAAACCCCAACCCGGTTGTAGTAGTCCGCCCTAATATAACATATAGGTAGAACAGGGTTCCTAGCCATTAAGTAGCTACATTTTTCTTTACGTCCTTTTTATGGCCAATTGTCTGAACGCGGTTTCTGGGACCTCTCCACGGCGATCCTCATCCACATGGTGGCACTTTGTGTCATCGGGTGTTTATTGCTTGTGTGATGTCCTAGTGGGGTAGAAAGTCAGTCAGTCAGGGTTCCTGGCACTTGTACCGGGATAATTCTCTTCCGAATGGTGGCACTTTGTGCCAGCGGGTATTCATCACTCGTTGCGCGGTCCTGGTAGGGTTCAACGCTACTCATATGATTCTTTTATAATTTCATACTTCCTTTATTTTATTATTTGTTTTGCCACCCAACACAATATTTTTATAATGTATTTAAATTGGACAAAACAATAGCAGAAGCCATGGTATCAGGAAGGAGGGGCAGCGGCCGACCAACACCAACATGGGCAAAGGATATAAATGACTCCTTTGCCTAGGAAAGTTAACAAGGCGGAATTGCTAGCGAGAGTTTCTTTCAGGTAGACCGCCGTAAGAGCGGCGTTCTGCAAAGGACCTTCTATATGATGATGATGATCTAAACATGACTTGGGCTCATGAGAAACCTCCTCGACCACTCCTCAGGAAAATTTGTTGGGGGAGGGGGGGGGGGGGAGGCAGAGCCCCAATGTTTTCGTTGTGTCATCGCACCTGAACGAATGTGCCTAATATGACACAATAAACGAGGCCGGGGTCCTGCCTGATAAACTCCAGTCCCTGGGAAGTACTTTAGGCACAAGCGAAACGCTTAAAAGGACCTTTCTCCACGTCTGAAAGTGCAGGGTGTGTGTGATGCTAGGACTAAACTAGAGGTATATATGTAATGCTAGGACTAAATTAGAGGTACATATCTGATGCTAGAACTATATTAGAGGTACATATGTGATGCTAGGACTATATTAGAGTTACATATGTGATGCTAGGACTATATTAGAGGTACATATGTGATGCTAGGATTATATTAGCGGTACACATGTGATGCTAGGACTATATTAGAGGTACATATGTGATACTAGGACTAAATTAGAGATACATGTGTGATGCTAGGACTATATTAGAGGTACATATGTGATGCTAGGACTATATTAGAGGTACATAAGTGATGCTAGGACTATATTAGAGGTACATAAGTGATGCTAGGACTATATTAGAGGTACATATGTGATGCTAGGACTATATTAGAGATATATATGTGATGCTAGGACTAAATTAGAGGTACATATGTGATGCTAGGATTATATTAGAGGTATATATGTCATGCTAGGACTATTTTAGAGGAACATATGTGATGCTAGGATTATATTAGCGGTACATATGTGATGCTAGGATTATATTAGAGGTATATATGTCATGCTAGGACTATATTAGAGGTACATATGTGATGCTAGGACTATATTAGAGGTACATATGTGATACTAGGACTAAATTAGAGGTACATATGTGATGCTAGGACTATATAAGAGGTACATATGTGATGCTAGGACTGAATTAGAGGTACATATGTGATGCTAGGACTATATTAGTCGTACATATGTGATACTAGGACTAGATTAGAGGTGCACATGTGATGCTAGGACTAAATTAGAGGTTCATATGTGACGCTAAGACTAAAGTAAAGGTACATACGTGATGCTAGGACTAAATCTGAGGTACATATGTGATGCTAGGACTTAATTAGAGGTACATATGTGATGCTAGGACTAAATTAAAGGTACATATGTGATGCTAGGACTAAATCAGAGTTGCATATGAGATGGTAGGACCATATTAGAGGTACATATGTAGTGCTAAGACTAAATTAGAGGTACATACGTGATGCAAGGACTAAATTAGGGGTACATACGTGATGCTAGGACTATATTAGAGGTACATACATGATGCTAGGGCTAAATCTAAGTTACATATGTGATGCTAGGGCTAGATTATTTTCTAGATCTGTGGACACTTAATGGTCGATTTAATTATTTGCAGACCAGCCACATTTACACCCATAATTGTTCTCGGTGCTTATTTGGGCATGTCGAAGCCGGCGATTTATTACTAAAATGTACATAGTGCATGATTAATAACAACATGAGTGAGCAAGAAAGATGGAAGTGAAACCCTACATTTATAGGAGAATACGAAAGGAAACACTCATGTTTTGGAGCAAGGTTGAAGTCATGAAGTGAATTAAAAAAAAACAAAAAAACTTGTTATCGGAGTTTACGGTGAACGCGCAGAAAAAGAAGAGGAAGAAGAAGAAGAAGAAGAAGAAGAATAAGAAGAAGAAGAAGAAGAAGAAGAAGAAGAAGAAGAAGAAGAAGAAGAAGAAGAAGAAGAAGAAGAAGAAGAAGAAGAAGAAGAAGAAGAAGAAGAAAAAGAAGAAGAAGAAGAAGATGAAGAAAAAGAAGCATTAGTAAACTAAGTAAGACAAGGACGATTTTACGCCACTCGTATCTATCTTCTTTTACCCCACCAGGACATCATACAAGCTATAAACAACCGATGACACAAAGTGCCACCATGGGGATGAGAATCACCCGTGGGGAGATCATAGAAACCGCGTTCAGCCATTAGACCATATTTATGGCCGGACTATATTGCGGCCGCTAGCAAGAGTATTTTTAAAATAACGAAAATTTGCATTCTACTAAGGGATGACAAGATGTTATTAATACGCCACTGGTGCATCTCACATTTGATGTTAAACTCATATAAACCAATCGGAACTCGATGGCTGTTATGGTCAACATCTCTCCGGCCCACTTTACTGCCCTGGACTTCAAATTGTACCCAGTTTAGGCAAGTTGGCCCAGAAGCCAATGTCATTTAAAAAAAAAAAAAATCCAACTGCACGCTCATTGGAACCTAAGTTTTTTTTTTTTTTTTTGCTTTGTAATTATGTTTAATGTTATTCATAGTTTACAAGTAAGTATACAAAGTGGCATAAAATATAACCCATTTATTTTACCATACAGTAGAGTGTAGCATGTATTGTATAATATATACAAGATAAATAATGCCATAATTCTATTGTATCCGCAGCGAGTGTCTAGCTACAACGCCACTGCAGCTTCCGGTACATTTAAAATATAATGACCGAATAACCTACTAACCTTAACAGAAAATAACTACACGTTACATTGATGACAGCCTCATTGACATTAGTGATAAACGGTGCTTGACAACTACGCCTCAGTTTGATTGTGAATTTCTAGGTCTAAGTTTTCTATTGTTGTTTTCTTGCTTCAGAAACAGGGATTTGTTCCAGGGACACAACACACGCAAACAATATTGGTACGAGCTCCAGGCATGGCGACGAGTGACGAGTTAGGGCCCTTGGCGGTGAGTGTGTCTGTCTGTCTGTCTGTCTGTCTGTCTGTCTGTCTGTCTGTCTGTCTGTCTGTCTGTCTGTCTGTCTGTCTGTCTGTCTGTCTGTCTGTCTGTCTGTCTGTCTGTCTGTCTGTCTGTCTGTCTGTCTGTCTGTCTGTCTGACTGACCACAATATATTATTCCTTATGCATACACCACATTACCCTATCTGATAATTCTGTTTGCTTTTATGTTTCGTATTCGTACAGTAGGGTTGAGAATACACCCCGAGTTTTTTTCCCCTTTCTTTCTAGAGATTAGGGTGCCGGTACTCACCACAATGTGTCTAGAAAGGTGCCTGTACTCACCATAAATTGTCTGAAAAGGTGTCGGCACTTACCGCAAGGTTTCTACTACAGTAGCAAGCATGGCGCCTTTACAAAGGTGCGGTACTTGACACGACTGTGTGTCCTCACCGAAAAACAGCGCTAATTATGTACGCCATGTGGCAGTTGTCCGTTTTCCCCTTCCCCGCTGCCTTCTGACGGTTAGCCATTCTTGGGAGTCAGATGCAAGCATCCTAGATGTCAGTCCAGCAGGGATTATCGCAGATACCCGATTCAACCTCCTAAAATAATATAATAAAGACACTTGTGTCGGTCACTCGACATATTAGACCGTTCTCATATTATTTTTTTTTTAAATCTCGTGAAAGTTTACATGTTTTACCACGCAGATGAAAATGTTTGGGTAAATTTTATTCTCTCTCACTCTCTATGTATCTCTCTGTTTCTCTCTCCCTCTGTCAGTCTGTCTGCTCTCTCTCTCTCTCTCTCTCTCTCTCTCTCTCTCTCTCTCTCTCTCTCTTTCTCCTTCTCTGTCTCTCATTCTCTCGCTTATTTGATAACATCCATCTTCTGTTATTACATCATAGTGAAACACCTAACAGCTCATACAGGTATATCAGAGTCTTATAATTAATTACCAACACCTATTTCTTCTGTAGCAATTATGCCATCGGACAACCGGGTTCAAGGACACAGCCGGGGTGAAGGACGCAGCCGGCAAAGGGATCAACTTGACCCTGTATGATGGCAAGTTGTTTACCCCGCACGGAGTCGAATATTTGGACAAAGTCAAGTCGGTGAAGATACGGCCCGACGATATCATCCTTTCCGGATATGTGAAAACGGGTACTTCTTTTGTGATCCTTCCTTCAGCATGTAGTAGTTAGCGTCCTTTGGATATTTTTTTAAGGCAATGACAGTGTGTTGGGAAACGATTAGGCAGAAAGACGGGCTGGTTTTGCACCATTTAGGGGTGCACTGATGCATGACAAGCTGGATGTTTCAAGGGCTCTTTAGGAACTGGTAAACATGCTGAGGCCCACATAGATCGTCACGGTCTGAAGACAATACTGCAGCGAAGAGTCACCAGGCAATATGGCCGACACTGGACACTCCGGAGAGGAGCGAGATGGACATGCAGTCAGGCTGCTGCTGGTACCACCCAAATTGGAACTCTGCTCTTGCTGCTGAAGATGGTGATGGAGCGCTTTTAGGAACATCCCATCCGATCTCGGAAGCTGATATATTTTGGCCATATCAAGCGCCACATCGCATTTGCACAAAATAAAAGCAGAAGGCATGGTGCCAGGAAGGAGGGGCAGGGGACGACCAGCACAAAGATAGGAACAAGATTTAAGTGACTTCTTGGATGTGAAAGTGCACGAGGTGGGACAGCTGGCAGGAGACCGTGTTTCTTTCAGACAGACAGTGATAGGAGCGACGTTCTGCAAAAGACCTGCTACAAAATGAGTGTAACACTTTTTCTATTTTGTATTTTATTTTTGAGGTATATTATAAAGTACTTATAAGCTAGCCTGTCCACCCGGTAGTCGTATGTTCGAACCCTCACCGCTCCAAAATCGTTTGATCAGCCTAAACTAAGTTCCAGAAAATGTTCTTTTTCTTCGTTCGTCCTTAAAATGGCGGTTGACAGCTTGTATTGTAGTTTACAGCTAGGTTTTGATATCTGATCTTTTCGACTCAAATGATTTAAACAAATGAGCAGTGGGTTTATTTCTTTTTACCCACGCAATGGGACCCGGGGACTTAACACTGGGAAGTAAAGGCAGCCGGTGCCCAATTTATTACAGTAGTTATCGAGTTCCAAGTGAGGTTTAAAATTTACTGATTTGAGAATCGACCTTATAGCATAGCGGGCATACCTATAGGTGATCCGTCTCCCGCAGTAATTGTCCTAAGGGTAGATGCAAACTGTTCTTGTAGCACACTGACAATGAATTCGCCGTTTTTTCCTCTCATTTATCACTCTCTGCCTGATCCACACCTAATTCCTCGTTCACACATTCCTCTTTGCCTGATCCACATCTAATTCCTCGTTCACATATTCCTCTCTGTCTGATCCACACCTAATTCCTCGTTCACACATTCCTCTCTGCCTGATCCACATCTAATTCCTCGTTCACACATTCCTCGCTGCCTGATCCACATCTAATTCCTCGTTCACACATTCCTCTCTGCCTGATCCACATCTAATTCCTCGTTCACACATTCCTCTCTTCCTGATCCACACCTAATTCCTCGTTCACACATTCCTCTCTGCCTGATCCACACCTAATTCCTCGTTCACACATTCCTCTCTGCCTGATCCACACCTAATTCCTCGTTCACACATTCCTCTCTGCCTGATCCACACCTAATTCCTCGTTCACACATTCCTCTCTGCCTGCTCCACATCTAATTCCTCGTTCACACATTCCTCTCTGCCTGCTCCACACCTATTTCCTCGTTCACACATTCCTCTCTGCCTGATCCACATCTAATTCCTCGTTCACACATTCTAACACATAATGTTGCATCTGACATTCCTGTCTTTTATCAGTATTAGTTTATAAACAGTTTTCAGAATGTCTCCTTGTCGAGTAGGAATGTTCCTATAGCTATTGCTTTCACAGACAGGAAGTACGCTCTATCATTTCCTCACACTCCTGCCATGGAGTTCACAAATATACCGTTAGCCTCATGCACCCAATGCTCTGTGGTCTTGAAAAGGATGCATCGAGCCTGGCCAATCAGCCCCTGTGCCCTCGACATTATCGTGCCAAACTAATTGATCAATTTTGCAACGGGTTGAACAACCAAATCACAGTTGGTGGTTTGACACGTCAGGTCCAGCCACTACAGAGCGAAGATGTCACTTTTCACGACAGGAAATCACCGACGGAATTTGGGACAGCTGTTCAGTCTTGCGTGAAATTGTTTACCTCATTTGCTTGTAACTGTTTTTTGAAAGACATTTTTCTCGACAAATGCGTCCGAATGACAACATTCAGGGTGCTTGGGTAGAACAATTTTATTGTGGTCAAAAGAAATTAAAAATAATCTATCTATCAATTGTCTTCTTCACTTTTACAGCCTAGTGTCGTGGTTTAAAATATTTGTTTTGTGCCTCTCGCGTGATTTGAGTGACAGTTTTCTGGATCTTCTGGCCGTATTCAGCTACTCCATCTATCCATTTTTTCCTGGGTCTTCCTCTGGCCTTTCTTCCCGATGGTCTACTGTAAAAGGCCTTATAGGCAATCTGATCCGGTTGCATTCTTACTAAATGGCCAAACCACTTCATTCTCTGTCTTTCAATATGTTTCATGCATGATCTTGTTCCAACTTTGTCTCTAATGCTGACGTTTGTGACTCTGTCTCTTCGTGTATTGTTGGTGACTCTTCGGAGACATCGCATTTCACACGTAGTTATTTTTTGCATATGTGATTTGTTCATTTCCACGTTTGGCACTGATAACATAACGTAGGGATGAAAATGCTGTTGATCATCCGTTGTTTGGCTGGTAACGAGATCTTTGGATGACGAAGAAGTGGGACCAGTTGGTAGTTGACTGCATTGGCTTTTTGAACTCTAGCCTGTATCTCTTTATCGAGTCTTCCATCTTCTGTAAATATGCATCCTAAGTACTTGAATTCTTGAACTTGTTCTAATTATATGTCATTGATCTTTATGTTTACATTACTGTGTTTCTTTCCTATGGTCCTTACTTCAGTTTTTGAGGTGTTTATTTTCATGTCAAATTTTGTACAATTAGTGAGCAATAAATCAACATGTTGTTGTAGTTTTTGTTCTTCTTCTTGTAACAAACATTGGTCATCTGCAAAGAGTAGTTCATTTATAATATCTGTGTTTTGGTTTGACTCCTGTGCAAATTAAAACTAATGCTACCCTTAAAATAAAGGCAAGCTAAAAAAAAAAAAAAAAACGAAGAAAAGGGGCTGAAGAATGAAGTTAAAATGATGGGAAGACATGGGGATAGTAAGCTGCATGCGATAGCGAAGGATAGAACGATGATAGAAAGAAAAGAAGAAGAAGGTGTCGTGGCCAACCTGTACTATGAAATAAAGATGCGTTTAAGCGAGACATGACTGATACAGGTATTGGTGAGAACAAAATACCATGAACCGTGTTGCAAGTAGTTGAAAAATAATCTGAAAGTTAATGGCAAGAAAAAAAAATTATTGCAGAAAGGAAGATAGCTGAGAGTTTGAAAAAAAACATGCTCAAGACAAATGATGGCAATAGCGGTCCTCTAATCCCGTTAATTGTGGACGATTTTTCTTAACGCAAACGGCTCTTTCTAGTCACACTCGCCATCGCCGTGGGCTGGGACTTCTATGCTTCCCTGCAGCACAGTATAACACAGCCCTCAGCAGAGACGGAATGGCGCTAGCTAAAAAAGCCTGCGAACCACCCCGACACCATTTTGGCGACTTGACGATCTGGACAATTGAAATAACAACATTCAAAGGGTAAGGACATGTTGCCCCACACTGTTTAGAAATTCAAACAGAAATGGCGATTCAATATCGACTCACTGTCGACTATACCAACATTTTAAATAAGATAACAAGCAAATAAAGAATTCGTTAACTATTAAAGAAGTGTCAGACAGACAAACAGAACCTTTTTTTTAAAAGGGTCAGTAATTGGACATGCAGGTCCGTCTTAAATTCTGACATTTATCTTTCACTCAACATGTTAGTTAATCTGTAAGTTATATTTTATAAACGTCGAATAAAAACACAATATCAGACAGACAGACATATAACAAGAGAGACGGATACATAGACAGACAGACCGAAGTAAGGACAGACAGATGGATATATATAGACAGCAGACAGATGAAGTCAATACTGGAACAACTTTCAGGCTGCCATTGGGTCTGGGAAACCCTGGGGATGATACTCAAAGGCAAGGGAGAGTACTCACCATTCTGTAAACAGATTGCCTACCTGGAGATGGCCGCCCCTGAGCTCTACGACAACTTGGACTCTCCGCGCATCCTCAACACGCACCACGAATATGATTATCTCCCTGATGAGGTAGGTCGTTCGGCCACAGCAAGATTCCCAAGCTGTACTGTTCAAGGACATTTAAAGGGGGTCTCAATAATTACCATATCCAAAGCCGGCGTTTTTCCTCCTACGTCTTAAGTTGCTAGCCGTTGTATAGTTTCTGTTACTCATGCTAGAGTGCCAATGGTCTATAAAATTTAACTCTAGCCTTATATGCTCAAATGATGCAAGTCGGGACGCCACAGCAAGGATGCCAAAGCTGTACTGTTCAAGGACATTTAAAGGGGGTCTCAATAATTACCATATCCAAAGCCGGCGTTTTTCCTCCTCACGTCTTAAGTTGCTAGCCGTTGCATAGTTTCTATTACTCGCGCTAGAGTGCCAGTGGTCTATAAAATATAAATCTAGCCCTATATGCCCAAATACGCTCGAAGTCGTGGAAAAGGGTATTTTACTTTACTTACTTGTACTATTGTTGTTACCACATTTTGCTACTACAACCAGCACAACAACAACACCAGCAGCGACAACAACAACAATTAATACTGCTATTGATGCTGCTGTCGCTACAACCGCTGCTAGAGCCACTACTATTTGTGGTGCTATTACTGCTGTTTTTACTGTCAACTCTAATAACAAAGTAACTACTGCTGCTGATCATGATGATGCCGCTAATACTGCGACTACAACTACTGCTAATACTGCTGCAGCTGCCATAACTACTGGTGTCACAACATTATTGCTACTACTGCTCCTAATATTACATCTACTACTGTTACTGCTGATTCTGCCTCTGATACTACCATTACTACTACTACTATCACTACCACCACCATCACTACTACTATACTACTACTACTACTACTACTACTACTACTACTACTACTACTACTACTACTACTGCTGCTGCTGCTGCTGCTGCTGCTGCTGCTGCTGCTGCTGCTACTACTACTACAACTGCAACGACTACTAATAAGATTACCGCACCACCACTGCTACTTCTACTACCACCACCACACCATTACCACTATCACTGCTGTAGCTAGTACTACGCCTAAAAGTGCTACCCCACTGTTGTATATAATTGTATAACATGTTTAAGGAATATGTCTGTGACGGTTTTCAGGTCAAGGAGAAGAAAACAAAGATCGTGCTGACAACAAGGAACCCCAAAGATACAGCGGTGTCCCTGTACAACCATCAGATCAACCTGTACGAGGTGTACAACTACGACGGCCAGTTCCAAGACTGGTTCCCCCTGTTCCTGGACGGCAAAGGTTGATTTATACTCTAAATTACAGTCTTGTGAAGATAGGGTGTCGGTTAACAGCAATGACGTCATAGCACCCCCCCCCCCCAACCCCATATTGACGTTCTCTTTTTGAGTATGCCTTTGTACATTACGTTGCGAATGGACGTCGCTTAGTGCAACAAAGCCTGACATATGATATAACAACGTCCAGTTTGAGAATGGAGGTGGAGGCAGTCACTGCTGCCTTCCGCTGGCTTAAAAGTCAGCTGTACACACATGCCAGGATTGTAACTGACTCACAGAGCATGTTGAGAAAGGTGAAAACAGGCATGCTTCGTGCGGAGTGGCAAACATCACTTCAGAGGTCCCAGGTAGTTAGTATTCTTTGGATATTGTCTCCAGGCAATTCCGGTGTGTTGGGAATTGAGCAGGCAGATCGACTGGCTGCCTCTGCACCACTTGGTGGTGAATTGATGTATGACAAGTTAGATATTGTAAGGCTTTTTGGGAGCGAGTGTACAGTGTGGAGGCGCAGATAGATCATTACGGTCTAAAGAGAATGGCGCTGCGAGGAGTTACCTGGGAGATGTGGCTGACGCTCAACACTCAGGGGAAGGATGCGACTGATATATAATCAGACGGTTACTTGTACCATCAGAATTTTAAATCTTCGCTTGCTGCTGAAGATGAGGACTGAGCACTTATGGGAGTGTCCCGAGTGCTGTGATGTTCAACATTCAACATGACATTTCATTTTGTTTTACATATATGATTTAATTAGTTAGAAAAATGAAGATAATATTAATAATAAAATAATAATTATTATTATTACTTTTATTATTACTGAAGACTAAGACTAACACTTATGCATCTTGAGTGGTCTAGTACCTATTCCTAGTTAGTTGTAAGAGGATGTCCCAGTCTCCCCCCCCCCCACCACAACACCACACACACACACACACACAACACACACACACACTGTATTCTTTGTGTCGGAAAACAAAGTCACAAACTATGTAACTGTTTGCGATCTCTGTCAACACTGCACTCGGGAACTGGAAGACGCGTTTAAAAAACGAACCCACAACCTTCGGAACGTGAGGCGAACTGTTCGACTCCTTCGCCACGGAGAACCGCGAATCTTCCAAAATGTCCCCTGAATTTCCCAAAATATCCCCTGAATTTTCACAATGTCCCCTGAATTTTCCAACATGTTCCCTGAATTTTACAAAATGTCCCTCGATTTTTAAAACGTCACCCGAATTTGCGAAAATGTACCCCGAATGTGCCGACATATTTCTTTGCCCTCATATTTTAGTCGAGTCGACATAGGATGCCAGCTAAATGTAAACATACACATGGACTGGGATACAAATTTAGAACCACTAGCAGACAGGCAAATGTCCTAGCAGTCAGACTTTACTGTACATCAGTGTCGAGGCGTGATATTTTCGCATGTGCAGGCGTTAGGTAAGGTTTACACTGGAAAGGGTATCATGTGATATTATCTTCCTCGTCACTTCAATATTGAGAATATGCGGGCGCAGCTAGCATTTGGTACTGGTAACCAGCAGCTCTCACATGTTACAGTTTCTGCATGAGTTACATAAGCACGCAGTCAGTGTTCTTTAACCTCTGTTCGAGACGTAAACGGGGTAGACTTCTTCTTCTTCTCCTCTTCCACCATTTCCCTCAGCGAGGTTGTAGGAGGAGATGTAAGGTTAGTGTGTGCGCTTTTTTCAATGCATTGTACAAGTTTGTGTTAATTTCTGTTAGGTTGCTCCTGACTCTTGCGTGGTCTTCCCCGTGCTCTGTGTTCGTTATATTTCTTCAGCGTAGCTCTCTGTGGCAGGTTGGTACCAGGGCATTCTCGTCCGGTGGCCAAACCATCTCATTTATTGTTCTTTAATGAAAAATGTGACTGGTTTCAGCCCTAGTCTTCTTCTAATTTCTTCATTCTTGATTTTATCCCTTCTTGTCACACCGGGAGCTCTCCTAAGACATCTCATCTGTGTTGTTACGATCTACCGCTGATTAGTTGTAGTAAGGGTCTATATTTGGTACTGGTAGCACAACATAGGGTAGGCTACTTGTAATAAATATGAAACTATATTGCAGAATAGTAAACTAATGTTTCTTTGGTAATGGAAAGTGTAAGCGACGGTTATAGCCGTTACATGCACACTTCGTTACACTTTAGGATAACATACACGAAAAAGCACACACGCACACGCGCACGCGCACACACACACACACACACACACACACAACACACACACACACACACACCACACACCAGCCAGCCAGATCCGCCTGGAAGCCAGTGAAATACCAACACACTAACCTCTGAAATGAGGTTCATATACTGGTTACACACATGGAAACGAGGAAAACATTGTTCTGTGGCTTAATTCAAAACAATGAGTCCCGTAGAGTATACTGCATACTGTTATAAACTTCTCAGAGGTTCTCATGTTTTTATGTTCCAACCACAAGTTGATAACGGAAGCTTCTTTGATTACTACGTGTCATGGGAGAGAGCCATCAATGAACATCCTGATCATCCCATTCTTGTGGTGAAATACGAGGACATGAAGAAGGTCAGCGGCTTTTTTTTTAAAAAAATGGGTGAGGGGGGTAACTTTATTTTTAATTCACCCCAAACAAAGGAAATCCCCGAGTTTGCGGGAAAATCCAATATTCTAGGGATGTTATGCGTGACGGTTAGGATCTTTGTCAGTCCGGGCCACCTCAGAGACACAGGCCCCTAGCCCTAACACCTAGTCATAACACCCCTATAATATTGGACATTCCAAACAACGCAGGGATTTTCTTTGTTTAGGGTGAGTTAAAAATAAAGGACTGTTTCTTTTAAAATATTGTCATTGGGAGAGATAATGGTGCAGTGGATAGCGAGCTTGCCTGCCGATCTTTAGCTGGTGTTTGGCGTCTGAATAATGTATTTTTAGTTGTAGTTAAAAAAAAAAAAATTTATTTTTTTTCAACCTTAATGGTATAGGTTTTAGCTAGGCTCAAACAAAAATAAACACCAGAAAAATCATGTTTATTCTTACATCAAGTCAACCTACGGTCCATAAATATTATGGAATGATAGAAGAGTCAGAACGAGAGGGAAAAGAGAAAGAGATAGACAGTCAGAAAGACAGACATACATACAGACAAATGGACAGACACGTAGGTATGTATGTTTCAAAGAAGGATGGATGGAAGGATAGACGGATGGACAGATAGATATGTGTGGATGGAAAGATGGAAAGATAGACAGACAAAAATATAGCGAAGGAAAAATAAATGGATGCACGGATGGATGGATGAATTGACGGACGGACGGACAGTTAAAGAGACAGACAGACAGATGGACGGACGGACAGACGGACAGATGGACAGACAACCAGGACAGGCAGAGAGATGATGATAGCAAATCGTGAGGATGAGTTGCATAAAGGTCTTTTTTAAGTATTTGTTTTTTAAGGCAGCCCCCGCCTCCCTCTCTTTCCAACTCACCTAGGCACCCACACGTTTTCTGTGGCAGCTTCTGAATCGCAAACTGAATTGAATGTTTCTCACAGGATCTAAAATCGACAATCAGAAAGTTGGCAGACTTTGTCAACGTGACCCTGTCCAACGACCAAGTGGATGAGATTGCCAAGAAGGCCGAGTTCAGCTCCATGAAGCAGAAGTTCAAGGGACTTTCCACAGAAAAACTCATCAGAAAAGGTTAGACAAAATGCAGTCTGAGGTCTTCTGTCTTCTTTGCTGAAATCGTCATCAAAATTATCGTTATCACACATACATACACACACACACACTCACACACACACACACACACACACACTATCTCACTCCATCACTACTCACACACACACACACACACACACACACATACACACACACACACACACGGGCAATTTTCAAAGTTGTATCCTACTCTCCCCGACTCTCCCCTTTACTTTCTCTGTCTCTTCTTTTTGCCTCTCTTTCTGTTTATATCGTTTCTGTGTCGCCACTTTCCCGCTGTCCTTATACTACACATCACTCACTCATCATCTATTTCTCCCACCCTGTGTGCGCCTCCGCGTGTGCGCGTACATGACTGCGTGTGCGAATGTGTTTTTATGGGTATAGATTAGTGTGTATGTATGTTTTTATCTATGCTCTCTCTAGGTCTCTCTCTCTCTTTCTGTCTCCTGATGCTCCTCCTTATCTCATCTCATTCTCTCTCCTGCTGTTCCTCCTTCTCTCATTCTCTCTCTCCTGCTCTTCCTCTCTCTCCATTGCTCTCTCTCTCTACTCTCTCTCTCTCCCCTGTCTCCCCCTCATCATACAATCAGATCCCCCCTTGAAGACACACTCCTGTCTGTGTGCCCTCTATAGGTGAAGTTGGTGACTGGAAGACAACTGGCTGACCCCTGAACAAGCTGACCAGCTGGACAACAAAAGTCGTCAATATCTGGCAGGCACCCGCTTTGAGCCTGTAGACAGCATATGAGATTTACAGATATCTTTGCACTCACTCTGAAGCCTATGTTGCATTTATTGTTTGCATTAATAAATATTGCTATCTTCATTAAGTTGTTAAATTTTTTTTTTGGGGTAGTAATACGTGTTCATCATCTTCATCCCTTCATCAAAAACATCATCATTATCTCATAAAATCATTTTCATCAGCATCATCATCAGCTCAATCATCATCACCAGTATCACGTCATACAATCATCCTCATCATCATCTCATAAAATCCTCCTCCTCATCATCACCATCTCATACAATCATCATCTTCACTAACATGGCCTCATAAAATCGACGTCATCTCGTACAATTATCATCACCATTATCATCATCTTCTCATAAAATCCTCCTCATCATCATCATCATCTCATACAATCATCATCTTCACCAACATCGCCTCATAAATTCGACGTCATCTCATACAATTATCATCACCATTATCATCATCATCTCATAAAATCCTCCTCCTCATCATCATCATCTCATAAAATCATCATCGTCATCATCATCATCTCATACAATTATCATCACCATTATCATCATCATCTCATAAAAATCATCATCGCCATCTCATAAAAATCATCATCGTCTTCTCATAAAAATCATCATCATCTACTGGTAGCAACTATCTCAGGGAGCCACGGACATACAGTGGGCACAGCGGATGGAACCATGGTGTCTAAAACAGATTTCATGAAATGAAGACCAGATTATAACACGTGTTGTGGGAAGGAGAACACAGAAGATCTTTACCTCTCCTCGAAAACTCGACAAATTAATTGAGTTGAGTTGGGTTGAGCTGCATTCTCTATCCCCATCTTCAGAAGCCAGCGCAGAGTTCCAGAACCAGTGGTGCTAGTAGCATTCTGATTACACGTCCGTCTTGCCTTTTCTCTGAGAGTTGAGCATCGGCCAAAACGCCTCGTCACTCCCCGCTGCACCAATCTCACCAGACTGTGGTGATCCTATCACTCTTCTGAATTGTACAAACTCTCCCACACGGCGCTAACCACGACTGCTTTATCATGCATCAGTATTCCACCAAGCTGTGCAGAGCCAGCCAGTATTTTCGCCTGTTCATTTCCCAACACACAGCGCGACGTGGAGAAAATATCCAGACAATACTCCTCACCCGTATCCTCCGCAGCGAAGCATGCCACTCTGCACAAAGCATGCCTGTCCTGACCTTCCTCAGCATGCTTTCTGAGTCAGTTACATCTTGATGTGTGTGTGTGTGTGTGTGTGTGTGTGCGTGCGTGGGTGTGTGGGAATACTCTGTAACCAGCGGAAAGCTGCAGTGACCGCCTCCACCTCCATTCTTAAGGCTGGATGTTTTGGTCTCACATGCTGGGCTCTCCTGCACCAAACGTCGACCTTTAACCTTTGCTAGGAAGCCCCAAGCACGTCATCTGTCTCTTGACACTGAACCGTCTGAATAAAAAAACAACATCCGGAATGTTTGTTTCCTTTCACTGTCCTGCCTGTATGCGAGTATAACATCTGCAAATGTCAGTATCCTTTCGTGGTTTACAAGATAGGGTAACTGGATGAAGTGAATAATAATAATAATAGGGACGAGAAGGAGAAGGGGTAGGAGGAGAAGGAGGAGAATAAGAAGAAGAAGAAGAAGAAGAAGAAGAAGAAGAAGAAGAAGAAGAAGAAGAAGAAGAAGAAGAAGAAGAAGAAGAAGAAGAAGAAGAAGAAGAAGAAGAAGAAGAAGAAGAAGAAGAAGAAGAAGAAGAAGAAGAAGAAGAAGAAGAAGAAGAAGAAGAAGAGAAGAAGAAGAAGAAGAAGAAGAAAAAGAAGAAGAAGAAAAAGAAGAAGAAGAAGAAGAAAAAAAGAAGAAAAAGAAGAAGAAAAAGAAGAAGAAGGGGGAGAAAAAACAAGAACAAGAACAAGAACAAAAAGAACAACAAAAAGAAGCAATATCTGTAGTAATAGTAGTAACAGTGGTGGTGGTTGTGGTGGGATAGTTCATACAGTATACTTATTTTGCGCCTATTGGTATAAACAATTTTGGTAAGCTAAAAACCTTCTCATAATATGGCAAGCTACAAATAATCGTATTTATTTTCTGAAATGGCTGCTCTTTAGAGAATAAAAACAGTTATGTGTTTTTCTGATTAATCTATGAAACATAATATCGTCATATTGGTAGTGACACTGTGCCATAAAGCACAGGCATGAAGTCAAGCGTGGCTTGGCGCGATGCAGGTGAGAAATGTCACTATTTATAAATAACATTTACTGGGTATTTCAGTCTAAGGTACACCGCAAACACAGATCATACCCACATCAACTAGGGCTCATCGATTCTGCGACTTGTTGCTGTGGTGCACCAAAGCAAACGCTAGGGCATTGAATATAAGATTGCTAAAAATATCCCGGCAAGAGAGCAGAAATCTGGCCAACAGGAGCTAATGTAAGACAGGCTAGGCAATGCAATGTAGATCTTCTAGGTACAACTCTGTTATGGCCCTTGCTGAAATAGTTAATGGCTGAAGAAAAAGGTTTCCTGGTGATAATGTTCACTTCTGTTGTCCATTTGTGTTGCTTACCAACCGTGTTAACGACTGTGATGATAACGACAAAGATAATTATAATGATGACAATAATGCTGTTGGGGATAATGAACGAACAAAGGGACATTTTTTTCAAAGGGGTAAGAATTGGGCACAGGCCCGTCTCAATTTCTGCTCTTTTATCTTCATGCACATACAACGTGCTACATTACGTTAGCAATAATTAACATATCCATACGTTACAAACTAGATACAAATAATAGAGTTGATGACGATGGCAATGATGAGGCTTATGATGAGGATAACGATGAGGCTTATGATGAGGATAACGATGAGGCTTATGATGAGGATGACGATGAGACTTGTGATGAGGATGACGATGAGACTAAGATTTAAATGCAACTTGACCAGCAACAAATCGATGTTTTCGATGTTGTAAACGTGAAACCGAACATGGATAAACGTATGTCCGCGGACAACTGCGTTAGAACGCACGGGGGAAAAAATAGACAAATTACTCGCCTACATTTAAAGCCCTTACTGGCTTCCCTCGCATGCACGATTCGCATAATTATGTTCTATACTAACACTCTACAAACTACTGAATGTAAACTTTCTTAGGAAAACCATAGCAGCCAAGAGGTGCAGGGGTTGGTTCTGCAACGTCCTGTATTGGATACGCAACTAACTATTGACACTATACACACGGTCCAGTTAAGTGTATCATTGTTTCGATATTCTGACTTGCAAATGCAAGCAGAGAGTCTAACTGTGACAATAAACCAGCGGGAAAACATACTACTTGATCGGGGACAGTAATATCAAAGCAAGAAACATTGGAGAACGCTGTTAAGCTAGATTCAGTGTGAATCAGACCTGATTCTATAGTGCTAGTTTCAGGCGATGGTACATCCGGGCCAAAAGAACTCATTTCAGGGTAAGTAATACTGGTTTCACTTATTTTAGTTGTGTCAGATTGTATAGTATTTAGCGGTGCTTCAATAGTTTCAGGATAAAATATACCCTTGGCATTGACACCCTTTCCGTGATCTCCAATACTCAATGCCCTGCCAAAGGTCTCCAGTTGCGTCGAATGTGTCGCTGTGGTTTCAGGCGGTACACGCAAGGTTGCGGTATAAGGCTCCGAATAAGCACATTGTGCGCTACCACCCGCTGTTGTACTATATGTGGTTGTGGCTGTGGGTATAGACTTGACTAATGAGGCACACCCATCCCTGTAGGTGAGCTCAGGCTGGTAGGAGGACCGTGTATAGCTGATACTGCTATTGTTGGAACCAAACCCACTTGTAACTTGTTCCACCACTTGGTATGTAGCTCGTTCTTGAGATACTTGAATCTGCGTGATTTAACATTAAAAGAGTGTTAAAAAAGAACTATTTATAAAAATATATTCTGATATAAAATAAGAAAACGGCCGGTTTCAGACCTACCGGGCTTTTTGGCATATGGTGCAAGTCACGTGATACATCAGATCTCATTTGACAATGTGTTGAATCTCGTCACCTCGGTCGACTTTACTTGTCATGACAATTCATTATACCAATTAAGGCCTGTGTCGGCAGTGTTAAATGTCCAGCTTTTCTTTAGATAACACTTAACATTGATATCTTAAACACAATTCCCGCCCTTTTTTTAGGATGAAATTTCTCGTTATTTGAAGTCAAACCCTGGCTCTTTCCAGGGGCCGCATTATAGCCAGGCCATAAATATATCCAATTGGCTGAACGCGGTTTCTGGGACCTCTAAACGGTGATTCTCATCCACATGGTGGCACTTTGTTCATCGGGTGTTTATCGCTTGTGTGATGTCCTGGTGAGGTAGAAAGTCAGTCAGTCAGTTAGATAACACAGGATTGCCTATCCCGCTAGAATGAAATAGCGTGAGTAATCATGCTTAATGCAAACAAAATGATCACGTGGCTAATCTAAGACTACTACGGTGAGCAGTATATTGTAGCCTGGTATATATTCGACGAAATGTTAGACTGTATATAGTCAATGTTTAAAAAAGCATTAAGGTAAGTTGCACTACATACCGCCTTTCCTTACCATACAATAAATTCTTTATAAAATCCTGCCTCTGCTGGAATTGATTAATGGCTAGAATTACAGCAGACAAACTGACTATCGACCATGCCAAATGAAACAGTCACAGAAGAAGACACCTACCTCAAAGCCCCTGCCAACTCCTGACACGTCAGTGTTGAACACGATAGTAAAAGGACTGCTCTCTGGGAGGATGTACTGCATCAAGTGCCCCTGCAACCAGCTTCCACAAAACTTGACTCCGTTCACACACAGGTAATCCCACTCACAGTGCGGGTGTGATTCTACGTCAAAAGTGCTGAAATACCA